ACACACACACACACACACACACACACACAAACACTCTTCCATGAAATAAACAATAAATAAACAATAAATAAGTTATCAAACTCTCAACCGGCTTGTATTAATTTTACACCATTATCACAGAGAGAGTGAGAGAGAGGACGCACGTACGCACACACATGTACCTCCTGTGGAGTGTGTGTGTATGTATGTATGTATGTATGTATGTAACTCCTGTGGCGTATGTATGTATGTATGTATGTATGTAACTCCTGTGGAGTATGTATGTATGTATGTATGTATGTATGCATGCATGCATGTATGTATGTATGTATGTATGTATGCATGCATGCATGTATGTATGTATGTATGTATGTATGCATGCATGCATGTATGTATGTATGTATGTATGTATGTGAGTGTGTGTGTGTGTATCTGTGTGTTTATTTCTGTGTGTGTGTTTGTGTGAGATCGTGTGTGTGTGTTTATCTCTGTGTGTATGTGTGTATGTATGCATGTATGCATGAATGTACGTGTGAGTGTACTGTAGGCGTGACCATGATTTTGTGGGCGTGGCACATATGGGTATGATTTGAAGGCATGGGCGTTGTAGGTTGTTGTTGTGGGTGTGACAGAGATGCTGCGGATGTGACAGTTATATTGTGGGCGTGTCATGATATTTAGTGGAGGGGGGGGTAAAATAACTCTCTTTCTCCTTTCTCTTTCTCTCTTTCTTTCTTTCTCTTTCTCTCTCTCTCACACAGACTTGACTGATTTATTGACTGATTGACTGGTTCATTCACTCACCCTCTCTCTCTCTCTTTCATTCTCCTTCTCTCTCTCTCTCCCTTTCCTTCTTCTCTCTCCCTCTCCTCTCCTTCTCACTCTCCCTCTTCTTCTCTCCCTCCCTCTCCCTACCCCAGGCAACACCTGAGCAAATTACACCTAATGGCGCCCAGATTCGCCAATCAGCGCAGCGGCAACACCTGCATAATCAAGAAACCTTCTCCGACACACGTGTACAATCTAAATATACTTCGGCAGCTGTCTCTAACACCTGTCATTTCCTCAACTGCATTCACTGACACTCTGGTTAAGGGGGGTGGGGGTCAAGGAAGAGATGGAAGGGGGAGGAGGGTGTCATTTGGTCACTTATGTCAGGTCACAGCCACAGAGAAGTTCACAGGATGTCACAGATATCACTGAACGAGGGTGAGGTACGTCACTTTTGAGAGACTTCGTTGAACGAGTCGGATATGCCACGTTATTCACTTTCCTCGGGGTTGTCATCGCTCGTTTCTCGATCCACATGACACCACTGACACCGAATGACACCACCGACATGACACAGGACACGAGATATTCATTTCTTGCCAACATAAGCAAAGGAACACGTGATCCGGCCTCCCTCCCGCGGCCGAGCGCGAGAGAGAGAGAAACAAGACGCGGCTCTCTACAACTCACCTATGTTGACGATGCGGATGTTCTCTGTTCTCTCGAGGAACTGGAGAGCCACGGACACGTTCTCCAGCTTCTGGCTCCTGAAGTTGGGTCGCTTGTTATGCTTGGGGAGCCGCTTGCCCGACAGCACCTCGATGAGGGCGATGAGCCTGAGGCCGTCGCTCAGGTCCGTCTCCAAGTTGCCGATGTGCTTCGAGACGGACTTGAGGTGCTCGTTGGCCCATCGCGTGAACGTGTTCTGTTGGATCCGCTTCCACTGGGCGTCCTCGGCGAGCTCGCGTTCCGTGGCCGACATCTCGTCCTCCTCCACGCCCGCCTGGCTATACTCTGGTGCACCTGAGCCGTACATCCTGCACCACCTGATCCTGCGGTCACTCTGGGCGGGGCTTGTCGCGACGGTGGGCGGGCCGAGCGACTCTTATCTACCAATGGGAGCGCGATTCAGGGAAAAGGCGCTCGATTCGAATAGAGTTTTGTACGAGCTCTGCTTCCTCGACTTCGGGGACGTCTGCTGGCGGTCACGTTTTGCGGCCTAGTGTAGGCTCGCTCGAGGGGCGAAGTCGTTGGCGCTAGCGAAGGGGAAGCCCAAAGGCCTGTTTATCTCGCCGGACACTCGCTCGTCTTGCGACAGTTTCCTGTTCACCTTTTATCGGCGACACGTGCGGCGGCGGCGGCGTCCACCCGCGGCACACTTCTCTCTCGCTCAAGTCGATGCGGCGACAAGCACGACGTTACCGCCACCACGCTGGCCGCACTGGCAGGTAGCGGCGTAAGATCCACGTCACCTGCAGGTCACAACCACACTGAGGCGTCGCTGGGCCCGGCGCCAGCCAACGCCACCAAAATAGCCGGAGGGGAAGGGAGGCCCGTCGACTCGGCCCACGCGCCGTGCCTCACCCCGTAAGAATAGGCGCAAGTGCCACGACTGTGTCTTCACCTCACTCTCGCCCTGGAAATTTCGCTCACGTGTGGCACCACGCCCGCCTCGCCGCCCACGCTCCGCCGCCACGCTCCTCGGACGTCGCCCTCGGGTGCGCGAGGCCCGGCTCGAGGGGGAACTCTTCCAGACGGGGCTCGGGGCACAACGCGGAGGAACGGGGGGAGGGGAGAGGGCAGTGTCACGCGTGTGCCACTCCTACAGATGGCACTGGGTACCGCTCTCACTCGCACTCGCGGCCGCACACTCGATCCTCGGAGGCAGCAATCTCGCACCAAGTTGGCCGTCGAGAGGTTTTCCTCTTCGCTGGTCGTCCTCAACACTCAAGGGCTCTCTCAAAGGTCTTCCTCGAGGGTCGTGATGAGTCGTAACGACACCTGGCGACGGCGGCGATCGCACGACAGTCTCCCGAAGGCGCTGACGAAGGGGGTGAAACCGAAGTCCTCGGCAGGGCGTCCGTCAAGAGGCAGATGCGGTCGCGACGATGCTATGAAGAGCGCCGGTCGAAGGGAGGGAGAGAAGGCGCGAAGGAGGGGGTCGTCGGGTCGTCGAAAGGGGGTCGTCGTAAGATTCCGCGTTCGAGGACGAAGAGAGAGGACCTGCGCTGGCTGCTGGCTCCGGTCGCTGCCTGTGCGCGACTGACGGCTGACGACGGGGGCGCAGCACACCTCACCCCTGCTCTCTCTCTCTCTCCCTCTCTCCTGCCCTCACCATGCCAGGGGAAGGGGAGGGGGGTGAGGAGGTCACGGTTTAGGTCTTGAAGGGGGGGCAGAGGAAGGGGGAAGGGGGTGGGGGAGGGAGGGAAAGTCGGAGGAAGAGGGGGAAGGGAGGAGGGAGAGGGGGTGAGGTGGGACTCGGGAGGGACTTCACATGATGGAGGAGGAGGGAGTGAGAGCTCGAGAAGGGCCAAGTGAGCGGTGATAAACGACCGGAGAGAGGAAGAAGAAGAGAGAGAAGATACAGAGAGATAAAAAACACACATATACAAGGAAACGGATGTAATTAACACTATTCCAATCACAATAGTGATATGCCTGAGTTAATGAGCAATAGCATCAGCAGTAACAACAACAACAATAAACAACAACCACAACAATAACACAAACACACAAACCCACCAGCATGACACACTCACACACACACATACACACGCTTACGTACGCACACACGCACACCCAAACCATATGTCCATACAGACCCAACCATTTTCGGCGAAGACAAGGAAACTGGGACACATCTACGGGACAGACGCCTCGGGGCAACTTACTATGACGTCATAGACATCGTCACGACTTCTCAAGACCGTTTCGAAGGAGGTTTTGTCAACAGAAGGAGCGAAGACGAAGGAGGAGGAGGAGGAGGAGGAGGTAGGCGGCGGGTGAGGTAAGCCAAGGTAGGATGTGAAAGACTTTGGGGGGGAGGGANGGAGGTCGTCAACACGTCGTCTTCGTAATCAGAATTTTAAAGCCTTGCTCAGGTGGGGCGAGTCACGTGGTTTCTCGAGGTATGTGTCGCGACGTAGCTGGCAAAAAAAAAAAATAAAAATAAATAAATAAATAAATAAATAAAAAAAATAAAAAGGAGGGAGTGAGACAGAGAGAGATTGAGATTTTGAGGGGGAGGAGGAGAAAAGAGAAAGAGAGAGAGAGAGAGGAGAGAGAGAGAGAGAGAGAGAGAGAGAGAGAGAGAGAGAGAAGAGAGAGAGAGAGAGAGAGGAGAGAGAGAGAGAGAGAGCAGAGAGAGAGAGAGAGAGAGAGAGAGAGAGAGAGAGAGAGAGAGAGAGAGAGAGAATATCATTATTATTATCCCTTTGATTATTTCAATATTTCTTTTTTAACCATTGGTATTATCATTATCATTATCGTTAATATTATCATTGGTTATTTCTATCACTATCATTATCATTATTGTTATCATTATTATCGTCATATCGTCATAATAATAATAGTATAGTAATAATAATATGATAATAATAATGATGATAATCATCAAATGATTATCATACTTATTACAATCATTACTATTATTTTTATAATTCTTACATCATTATATTATCATTATTTTATTATCATCATTCATTATCATCACTATTATTATAATCACTATTATTATCATTCTAATCATTATCATCATTACTATCATTATTATCCTTATCATTATAATCATTATTATTGTCATTATACTATCATATTATCTAATTATTATATATTACCATTACCAATATTATCATTGCCATTTATTGTTATTATTTCATATTACATTACTATTATCTTAATATTATCATCAACATCATTATCATCATTATCATTACTATTATTATTATAATGTTCAATTATGCCAACACACACACCAGCACACACACACACACACACACACAGACACACACACAACACACACACTACACGCACACACACACACACACACACACACTACACACGCCCCCCCCCCCCCCACACACGCATCCATATACCAATTATAACAAAAACCCATCTATTTTTTTCTTTTTCTCACTGCGCTTCTTCCCCTTCTTTTTGCAGCAGCCAAGACAACAAGGGATCTCCTCGCCTGCATTTCGTAAATCCTCCCCATCTAGACTGGCTCCTCATTTTAATTGAAATGACTGTGCGAGATTTCAGACGCCCAAAAACAGCTCTCGGCATCTCGCGCACGTTCACACATTCACACACGCACACGCACATATGCTCACACAGACAACACACAGACACACGCACGCACGCACGCACACATATATATGCTCACACACAGACACACACACATACACTACGCACACGCACAACGCAAACAGCACCACACACCACACAGACACACCACACACACATATATATGCTCACACAGACACACACACATACACACACGCACAAAAAACACACCCACCCACAACACACACACACGCACGCACACACGCGCGCACACACACACACACACACACACACACACAGCACACACACACACACACACACACACACACACACACACACACACATATTACACAGATACATACGCGACGGTACATAACATAGACGTTAAGCATACACAGAGACACGTCTATTTCTATTTGCTACTAATGGCAATGGTAATGATGATAATGATAATGATAATGATAA